GACTGTCGGGCCTTGGACGGAAGGTAGGGGAGGGTGGGGGTAAGGGGGCAAGATCAACCAAAGGACTTGTATGCATGCATGTAGGCCTAACCAATGGACACAGACAACAGGGGGGAGAGGGCATGAGTGGGGGATTGGGGGGTAATGTGGGTATAAGGGCACATATGTAATAACTTAATCAATAAAGAAATTTAAAATAAAAAAGTAAAGAAAAAGAAATGGAGACTTAAATTTAGCAAAATGGAAAGGTTTTGCAAACAATGATGTCTAAGAGGGTAAACATTTGGGTTCTTACTGACATGGTATTTGAACATCTACACTAATAAAAGACAAACATGCAAATTGACCATACCTTTGCTATGCCTTAAGCCATGCCCACCAGGCAATCAGAGTGATTATATGCAAATTAACCCAACCAAGATGGTGGGCAGCAGCCACAGAGCTGGAGCAAGCAGGAGGTTTGGTTGCTCCAGTGATGGAGGAAGCCAAGCTTCCCGCCTGCCATGGCTGGCTCTGAGCTCCACTCAAGACAACAAAGTTTCAATTATAGAAGATAAATAAACCCCAGATGCCTGCTTTCAGCTGGCTATGGCCACTGAGCTGGAGCGAGCAGAAGGCTTGGGTTGAGCCTGGCGATGGAGGAAGCCAAGCTTCCCGCCCACCCTGGCTGGCTCTGAGCTCCACTCAAGGCTACAAAGTTTCAATGATAGAAGGTAAATAAATCCCAGAATAAATAAATAAAAGAAAAAAGGAGAGGCTGGGAGCTTCCGTCACTGGCTGGGGGGGGGGGGGGAGGAGCTTGGCCAGCCTGCAAATGGCCCTCAGCCCCTCACCCAGGCTGGCCAAGCACCCCAGCCGTGCACCAGGCCTCTATCCTATATAATAAAAGGGTAATATGCAAATTGACCCTAACAGCAGAATGATTGGGAATGACTGGTCACTATGACACACACTGGTCACTAGGGGACAGACACGTAATGCAGGAGCTGTCCCCTGGTGGTCAGTGTGCTCCCACAGGGGGAGCTCTGCTCAGCCACAAACCAGGCTGACTGCTGCCAGCACAGCGGTGGTGGCAGGAGCCTCTCCCGCCTCCTCAGCAGTGCTAAGGATTTCCAACTGCAGCTTAGGTCTTCTCCCTGCTGGTAAGTGGACATCCCCCGAGGGCTGCTGGGCTGCCTGAGGGATGTCTGACTGCCAGCTTGGGCCTGATCTCCCAGGGAGTGGGCCTAAGCCAGCAGGTAGACATCCTCCAAAGTGTCCCAGACTGCAAGAGGGCATAGGCTGGGCTGAGGGACCCCCCTGATTGCACAAATTTTCGTTCACTGGGCCACTAGTAATATATAATTATCTTAGTTACTAGCATCATCTCCAAAAAGATCTTGACAGTATTTTTGATTTGATGTAATCAAGAGTGATTTCTGGTGATTCTCTGCCTGTTGGAGCTGTTACTATCATAGGACATGCCAAGGAACTCAGAATAAGAGCTAACTGGGAAGTGCTGTGAACATCCTAACCAGATAAATTACTAGTAACCTCACTGTCATAATAAACCCTCACACTTTGTCCTTTACCAAAAATGTTCACATTTATCATAGCATATGACTCCCATTATAGCTCTATGAGAGTGATATTTCTAACCTTACAGATGAAGAAATTGAGACATAGATAGGGCACAATAAATAATGGAGCTGGGCCTTTAACCTAGGTCTTCCTGATTCCAAAGACAAAGGCATTCACATGACATAAAAATCCTTTTATCTTATAAGCATTTCTTGAAATTTGCCTGCTTGAAGCTCTATTGCCTAGCATGGTGCTTTGTACATAGTAGAAAGACAGTAAATATTACAGAAATGGAAGTGAAATAAAGTCAACCACAGCAATTTTCAGCTTATTTTCATTGTGTTTACCAAGGCTATTCAAAGTTTAACTTGTTCAACTGTATAAAGTCAATTTGTAAATTTACCATACCACTCTCACCAAAGATTTATAGATTTATGCCTATCTTCTATAAGGAGTAGTAAAATGATCTCTTATACATAAACTCCTTTTCAAAAGGGTTCACCTTAATCATGTCATAGACTGCTTTATGATAGAGGATGCTGGCTGAGACATGACACTAATTTTAAGATTGGGATCCAACTGCATTAGGACTTCGGTTGCCATTAGGCTTTACCTGCATCAAAGTGGGCATATCAACAGATGGAAAACTAAGGGGTTCTCTACGTGCAAGCCCCATCTCTTATACACAATTCACAGACAGCTAAATGAGAGTTCAGTGTATCAGAAACCTCACACGGGGTCATAAAATTCACATGGAAAAAACTTCCCTTTTGTTTTCCTTCTGCACTCCCCCATCCCAGTCTTATTTCTTCCTCCCCACTACAATTGAGATTTATCTGGAGAAGCCAAGCAAACAAGAACAAGGTTGATTTTTTTTTTTTAATATTTGAGTTTCATTTGATGTGACTGCCTGGAAAACCACTCACAGAGCATCTGCCTATGATTTCTGGGAATACTAGACACTACTTGAAAGGCTTCTGTTAAAACCATCTCATATTGAGCCTGGATCAATTTATTTGCAGTACTTTTGTCTGTTTAAGGACTATTACTGGCCTATAAGGAAGGGAGTATAGAGTTATCCACATGAAGACCCACACATGATTAGAAAACAAGTTGGTTTTTATAAATAAGCACATAGGAAGACAAGGTATTGAGCATGTCATAAAAACAACAACAATGACAACAACAACAACAAACAAACAAAAACTAAAGATGGACAAGTGCTTTAAATTAGCCTTGAGAGGAGAGGGGAAAGGGCAGGATTCTGGGCGCATACATTTTCCTAGAATCTGATAGGCTGATAAGGAGTATTCAGGTATGAAGCTACAGTTTTAGGCATTCAGAAGTAGATTTGTCTTTCCTGAAGTTCCATTTTGAAATAAAAATAGACTAATGATCTTGCTTTACTCATGAAAGTTGCATCTTTCTGGAAGTGGAAGGCAGCAGAGATGACTCTGGCATTGAACAGATGTGAACATGAATAAATGAGAAATTTGTGGGGGGTATAAGTGTCAGCAAAGCTTTTCTGGAATGGTACCAGTGCTTATGATAGACACAGAGTAAGAAACAGAGAACCTTATTATGTGGAGTCGCCATTGAAAGAGCTGTATCTTACCTCGGTCAAGCTACTGTGCTACCAAAATAAATGCTTTTGGAAATTATCAATAGATTTGCAAGGAAAAGGGTATGATTAAAAGACCTGTTCATCCCTAGGAGGTGTGGGATAAGAAATTGGCTCTGCTTGGCAGCTTAGTCATAGGCTCCAAAGAAAAGCAGCTTCTCTTTCCAGGTGGCCAACCCTACAATATTGGCAGCAGTTAACTGATGGCTATTCTTGGGTGTTCAAGGCCAGCCTGTGCCGGGGTCATCCTGCACCTCTAATTGTTCTGAATTTCTTAGTTCTCTCATCCTAGCCACCATTTAACAACATTAGACCAGTACCATTATGTCCTCTGGGGAACCCTTCTTAGTCAAGCCCACACTCATCCCTGAAGAGAGTCCTGCCTGATTCTTGCGTCATACCTCCTGCTCTCATGCTTAGCCCCAGAATGGGGTATAGCAAAGAGGAAAATCTGGTTTAAAGAGAGAACCAGAGAATGAGGATGGGAAAGGGAAGAGAAGAAAAACGAATAAAATCATCATACCTCCCAGAGTCATCCCTGCTTCATAGCATTTCCGGAGGCGACAAGATGGACAATTTTTTCTTCGGAATTTATCGATGGTGCAATCATTTCTGCTGGCACAAAGGTACTTCTGTTTCCCTGGGAGAATAAATATAAAAGTAGACAGACCTGTTAATGGTTTTCCAGAGTATCTCTCCTTAAGTATTTCTAGGCAGCAAGGGCATAAAGATATATCCTGCCAGATGAAAGAAGTGGACAGAGAATGGCCCTAAATAATTTGATAACACAGAATCTATTAAACCAGGCTGGTTTAATTCAATGTTTTTCTGTTTGTTTTCATAGGGATGAACAATTCAGGTCCTGATGATACTTGCTTTATCAAGACTACTGACTGGTATGTTCAATAAGATGATCTATGTATGAACCGTTACTAAAAACCAGTAATGCCCATGAAAAAATGATCATTGGTGGAAATTATCACTTTTCTTCTTCCTGACTCCTGAAATCATGCTTGAACTAATAACATTATTTTTTTTCTTTTTGTTTATATTTTTATTGATTACAGAGAGGAAGGGAGAGGAAAAGGGAGATAGGAACATCAATGGTGAGAGAGAATCATTGATCTTCTGCCTCCTGCATGCCCAACACTCGGGATTGAGCCTGCAACCCAGGCATGTGCCCTGACCTGGAATCGAACCATGACTTCCTGGTTCATAGGTCACACTGGCTGGCAACATGCTATTTTTTACAATAAAAATACAGGTAAAACTTTTACAAAAGAGCATTTATATAAAAGGGGATTTATATAGGATTTCTATTTGTTTTTAAATTGCTAGTGATCATACCCCCAATTCTGTAGGTTATAAAAATCAAACAGATAGGCTCATTCTTTGTGAAGTGAATCACAGCAAGTGAAAGGAAGTCCTCTGAAGCCAAAACAAGAGAAATGATCACTGTCATGCACACCTTGAATTGTCATAAATACAAAGAAACATACATACACAAACACAAACACAGAGATCCTCAGGATCACTGCTACTCAAAGACAGACATGGAGGTTCACTCAAAAAAAACCCAACATATTTTATTCTCCACATCTTCACCAGCACTTGTTCATTGGTTTATTGATGGTAACCATTTGGAAGGTGTGAAGTGATATCTCATTGTGGTTTTAATTTGCATCTCTCTGATGATTAGAGACATTTAGCGTTTTTCATATGTCTATTAAGCCAACTGTTAAAGGGAACCCTTGTGCACTGTTGGTGGGAATGCAGACTGGAGTTTCCACAAAAAATTAAAAATGGAATTGCCTTTGGACCCAGCTATTACATTTCTGGAAATATATCCTAAGAATCCCAAAACACTAATTCCAAAAGAATATATTCAACCCTATATTCACTGCAGTGTTATTTACAATAGCCAAGATCTGGAAATAGACCAAGTGCCTATCAATAGATGAGTGGATAAAAAAGCTGTGGCACATTTATACAATGGGATACTATGCAGCTATAAAAAATAAGGAACTCTTATCTTTTGTGATAGCATGGATGGACCTGGAGAATATTATGCTAAGCCAAATAAACCAGTCATAGAAAGACAAATATCATATGATCTAACTTATATGTGGAATTTAATGAACAAAATAAACTGAAGAAGAAAAAATCAAAGGTACAGTTACAGGGAACATTCTGTTAGCTGTCAGAGGGGTGGGGCTTGGGTAGGGGACTGGATGAAAGAAGGTGAAGGGATTAGCCAAAGAACATATGTTTATAACCCATAGACACAGACAACAGTGCTGTCATGGCCAGAGGTAAAGGGAGGGCAGGGGCTGGGTGGTGGTGGGCAAAGGGAGAAGAAGTAGGGACATGTGTAATAGTTTCAAAAATAAAATTTAAGTTAAAATAATAGAATAAAATTCATATCTCTCTGGGAAAAAAACAAACAAACATTTCATTCAGTACTTTTCCTCTTTGCTCATAGTACAGGCCTGGCACTCAGTAGGGCCTCATTAAAAAATTGACTGAATCAATACACAAGAGGAACAGGTAGATCCATAAGTATAGAGTCATCTGCAGAAATAGACCAGATGCCTGCCCTGTTGCTCTAAAACACAGAGAACTTCTCTAGCTCTGTCCCAGCCTGAGCTTGAGAATCCCCTCCCCTCCACCCCATACTTTCTCCAAGTCCCTGGTTGTTTTTCTCTCGTTTACTGCTGTACTTCTATAGTTTATTAGATAGACTGGGATTTTAGGGATGATTCTT